AACCTTAAGGAATGTAGATATGGTATATTTTCTTTATAATTATACTAACTACACAAATATTAAACAAGGGGCGACATAAATGCTTGAAATATGCTAATGGCATTCATTTGCAGATTTTTTTCCCGATTCGAAGGCAAAGTCACTTCTACCTAATTGTGTTCAACTTGAAAAATTCGGGGTTCTTAATAATTGATAACACAAAAACAGAGGTTGATATTGGAAGCAAGTATGGGGATCTGCCAACACAATTGGTAAGAGTTTACGAACTTTATCACATGTGATAAACTAAMAATATTTATATATGCAATTACTAAATGACTAATCACAATGCAAATTTGAAATGTAGCACAAGGCTCTTAATGACTACATGAAATCAGTGAAGCACCCCAAAGAAAAAATCATGGCTAATGTCACCGCCAAGGTCTGCAACCTGAAGTGGAGTACGGTACGAAATGGTGTTGACTRYGGAATCTTCGTAATGCGGCACATGGAGCATTATATGGGACAAGTGATAAATCGTTGGGATTGTGGTTTCTTTCAAGAGGGATGTGGAYAAGAACAACAACTACGACGTTTAAGGCGAAAATACCTGACAAAGATCCTTCTTTCAAATGACAACATTTTAAAGGAAGCACTTTACAAACAGGCACTTGAATTTGATGAACTGGATGATAATCTGAAAGAATHAATCCTCACATCTGCATTCAATAAAAGGGAGATGCGTTTTGGATCATATTAAATAGGTAGAAAGATATAGGAAGTTGGATGTTTGTTCGTTTCATTTGCAGTTTAGCAATTTCTTTATTTCATCACTAGTAGAACAAATGACATATTGTAATGAAAACAATTGGGTTGAATTCGCATATGTTTTGGAAATTATACTTCTATGACAAATGGTATTTCCGTAAGCATAATCATGGTGTGAGCTTATACAAAACATTTATCACTTGTGTCGACCAACAATATTTGCTATAAAATACAGCACATGGTTATTTTTCTAATCACACAACAATAACATAATTTACGATTTAACTGTGATACGTTCAAAAATATCACAGGACATAGACGAATATATCACGTGCATAAGATCCATAAATTGAGAAGATTCCAAAAACCCGAAAACATATATAATTAGCAAGTACAAAAGTGTTTTATTATTAAATACAATGTGTCATATAACAAAAAAAACATATTGCAGCATATATGAAACGTGATACACAAGGTTATCACATGTGATACCCTAAAATTGAAGTACCACCAAAGTTTGATATGAAAGCATTATATTTAAAAAAAACACCGTGTAACAGT